TTTTTTTTTCCTTTTCTACAGTTTTCCAGCTTCTTGTCACTGTTTCATCTACTTGCTTTTTGCTTGTGTGTTTTAGCTTACCACATTTCATTTATTCTTTAGTTTAACTTATGGAGGAGGACATCCATCACATTCAGAAACGGATCTTCTTCACAGACAGACATTTGCAGCTTCTCATCAGCTTCCTGGATATGCTACCACACACCATCCTACTGGTAACTATCTGTCATGAAAACATAGTTTAAATGACTAATAGAATGCTCTTTTATAAAACAATCTTGAAGTTAATTTTATAGTCTTAAGGTGCCTGTAATGAAAAAGCATTTGCTGTTACTTTCAAGAGCAAGCTGATAGCAGAATTCTTTTAGAGAAGCTAACACTTCACCACTTCCCTTCTATGTTTCCATTAGGACAGTAGAACATGTTATGATTTGTAATCTGTTCTAATTCTGTACCAACAAAAAGGGAAATCTCCTGTGGCTTTTCTCCTTCAGATATTGCATGTTAAGTTACCAGTACTTGTCTAAGTAACTGTTAACTTATTCTACACACAAAGGCCAAATACTGTGTTTTGTCGCACATAACCCGTACCTTTTTCCTTCCAAACCAGCTAGGGAAGATTGGTGCACACATTATATGTAAGGAAAATGCTCTCCATGGGTCCCACCACCCTGCTGGCACTGCCAAACATCTAGACCCATAGGAAACCCCCCTTTCCTGACAGTGTACCAGATCAGGCTGGTGCATGGGGCTGGCCTGCTGCTGGACCCTGCACACTGGCTCTGGAGCCATGTGCTGGGTTGGATGCAGTGCACTGAGTCCAGGACCACATGCTGGCTCTCTGGTTGTGTGGTGGGTCAGGCATCACACTGCTCTGGAGCCAGCATGCAGAGTTGCACAGTCCCAGGGGTGCTGCAACCAGATCAGGCCTGGCTCCACCACATGGTCCACAGCATGGGGCTCCCTAGCCCCAGCCCATGGTCCCTGGCTTTCAAGCCCCCAGCTCTGGCATGTGGCCACTTCAGAGATCTCAGAACTGAGGTACTTAACCTGTACTCCAAGGTAAGATATTTTTTTCCTTCTTGGAGCCTTTGAGAATTAGGGTGCTTGTTATAATCAGGGGCATACTATATGTGCAAAATATTATTTGGTTGCTCTGAAGGCAAGTTACTGGTACTGTACCAGCAATTTTTGTGAAAATTAGAAGGCTAATCATGCAAGAATGAATGCATGTTGATTCATACAAATATGTACAACCTTAGAATGTGTTTTTCAATGCCAGCTAATATTTTAGCCCAGAAAATTTGATGATAGGTTACTTCAGCACTTCTCAAAGACTGGAACAAAACCTGCAAGAAAGGAAGATGCATAAAGAAAACTTACAACTGATGGCATTGCTTCCTAATAATAAATCAAAATACTTTGAATTATGGAATTTTAAAATATTTTTGGGCACCTTCCATTTGCATTTCCAGATGTATTTCACTAATGACTGACACCAGTGCTGATGTTTCATGCAAGAAACTTTTTTTAAAGAAGCAGTACAGTAAGGTTGTTTGTTTACTTACTTATTTTTGCCTCTCCCTGCCCTTTTAAATTCTTTGAGAAGCTGATCTATCTCTGACTGTAATATACATTTCAGTGTGAAATAACAATTGTGTTTTTCCAAATATAGGTCTTACTGGAATATTTGATACCAGTATACACAGTGCTGGAAATAACACTAAAGAAACTTCAGTTATGAATTTTCTCTCTGCAATTGAGTCTCTCACTGTCCAGGCTGCCTCTTCAGGAACTACCCTTTTGCCACAGTTCAGGGCTCCATCGTGGCAGACAGGTACAAGAAAATGGGTTTTTTGTAATATTTGATGTCATCTTGCTAATAAAGATTTTTTTGTCAATTTTTAGTCATTTTTCAAATCTGCAGCCACGAAAACTATAATCTTTTCCTTTTTTGCATTTAAAAAAACAAACCTGGCATTCGTTTTAAAATCTGAATGTTACCAAACTTGAATTTGGTAGTGCTCATTGAAGAATATGAGCAAAATCTATAAAAGTTTTTTCCAAAAAGTTCTGAGTATTTAAAAATTGTTCAGATCAATGTTTCTGAAACTTTTTTGGGATTGTGTTCCTAATTTGTTTATGCTCCTGTGTAACCCTGTGATTGCATGATAAAGCTAATAATAAAAAAATAATTGTCACTGCAGCCACACTGAATCTCTCCAGCAATTTAAGAAATGTTCTAGGCTTAGTTTCCATTTTTTTTTCTCCCTCTTTCTGCAGTTGTATTTTCCTTTTCTCTTTTTCTTCTTTTCCATTCCTCCCTCTTGTATATGCTGGTTTGAGGAACACAAAAATATAATTTTCTCTAGTGAATTTAATTTATACTTTTAGTATCTATTTGGAGCTTTTTACGCTAACAATTTAGAATGAATAAGTTACCATTTAATGGTTGCTTACAGATGTAAAAATAAAACAAAAAACCAAATCTTAAAACTCAATGCATTCCCACACCAAGCCCAACACATGCCTGGAAGAGGCATCGCGTTAGTTGGACCCGGCTCCCCCAACATCTGTATAGATGGGGCGCTTCAGTGGGGCTTCTTTGATGCTTTTAAAGGGCCAACCCCCCCCCCCCCCCAAAAAAA